CCTCCCATGCTTGCCTGCCCTCCACTCTGCCATCCCAGCGGTCCCCCATGCCCATTTGCCTTTTGAGGTCGGCATCCAGCCCAGCCCGGCCAATGGGTGGGCAGGTGGTCCTTGGGGGAAATGCTGCTGCTGCTACACTGCCCTGGGACATGTGCAGCAGCCCCTCCACCGCAGCAGCACCGCCCCCTCAGCCCCGGAGCAGCGGCTGCATCTCCACCAAGGGCTGCCCACCGTCAGCTTTACCAATGCACAGGCTCCATTGGGCATGCTGAATACGCCACCGGAGGATCTCTAGAAGGTAAGGCTGATGCTGGCGGCGGGGGAGGGAGGGAGACTTGCTGCGCTCGGCTCCTCGGAGGGACATGGCAAAGCTCGCTCACCTTTTGGGCCTGGCACACTCGGCTTCCGTGGGGCCTTTGGCCGACTGGCACCCACTTGCCTTCCCCTCTGCCTCAGGTCCCGCCTGCCCCCCCCCGGAGCACCTCCATGCTGCTGCCATTCACTTTCTTCCTTCTCCTGCCATGAAACAAAAGTGAACAGTGACGGGATTGCTTTGGGAGGTTGCTTTGGACAGGCGGATGTCTGCAGCCAGGTGGGGAGGGAGGGCAGCGAGAACAGCGGCAGCAGGCAAGGGAGTGCCAAGATATAGGCTACCCACACTGGGTAACTGTTGCTGCCCAGGCCGAAGGGAAAGCGCGGCGGGCTCCACAGTGGCACGGCCTGGCTTGGCCCTCTCTGCGTGGCGGGCTTCTGTCCATCTCGCTCTGCTTTTTCGCCACCAGGAAGTGGCGGCACGGCTGAGCCTCCTTCCCCTGGAGTTCCAGACTCTGCGGGCTGAGTTCCTGGAGTTCCTGGCGATCAAAGAGAGCAGGCAGGTGGCTGGGTGAGAATCCAGTGGGCTGCTTCGGAGGCCCCCCCGCGGAGCCAACACAGGTGGAAAGCGGCCTTTTCTGCAGCATCCCCTCCCCTTTTTGAATAGCCTTGGCGGGGGGTGGGGCTCTGCCTTTGCAGAAACAGGGCAGGCGGTTTGTATGGAGGATTGGCAGGGGGGGATGCGCGGCCCTCTGGGATGGAGAGCAGGGCAAGAGAAGGCTCCGAGGTTCGCTTGGGCAATCAAGCCAGATGGCGGAGGGAAACTCAAAGTGTTGGGGGCTTCAGAAGGGCAGAATGTGCAGCTCCTGACTCTTAACAGTGAGTGACATACGTGATGTCAAGTTGGCCATGCCCACCCGATCACATGACCACCAAGCCACGCCCTCAAAACTGGTAGTGACAATTTTTAGATTTCACCACTGGCTGTGACAGTATATATGCTTGGTTGTCAAAAGGATGCTTCTGAACATTCATGTTTTATTTGGATTGCATTCACTATATGAGTTCAAAATGGGGTCACCCTCTCTGCTCCATTTCGATGTCTTCTCTTTTTGATAAGTTGGTTTACCATCTTGTTTTCAGAGCAAGACAGCCCAAAGCGAATTCCATCTAACAATGCTCCAGAGTCAGGCATCACTAAAGGTAGTCCTCAACTTAACAACAGTTCATTGAGTGACCATTCAAAGTTACATTGGTACTGAAAAAAAGGGATTCCTGAACAGTTTTCACACTTGTGACTGTTGTAGCATCCCCAGGATCATGTGATCAAAATTCAGATGCTTGACTCACATTTATGACGCTCGCAGTGTCCCAGGGTCACCTGATCACTCTTTTTGACTTTCTGACAGCCAGATTTACTTAACAATAGTTTGATCAATTTAAGAATTACAATGAGTTAACAACTCTAGCAAGAAAGGTTGTAAAATCTCACTTAACAAATGTTTCACTTAGCAGCAGAAATTTTGGACTCAATTGTGGTTGAAAGTCGAGGACTACCTATACTCTTTTATTTTTATGGCTTTTTCTTCTCTCCAGCTCTCTTTGATTCTCTAACAAATACACACACATAGACTTTGGACACCATAAAAGCAAGCTAATATTATTCTGGCATGTCCTTTCATGGACTGTAATTCTCCTCCTTAGATTCTTTTGGCATTATCCTCAGCTGGCAGTTATTTTTCCTGGCAGGAAAATATGTCTACTGCATTGGAGAAGAAGAACTGAAGGGGAAAGGTAGAGAAAAATAATAGACACACAGAGAGAAATGTTGCTAGGCTAAAATCTAATTCAGTACTCTAATAGTGGCCAACCACTTATCCTTAGCAGCTGCTATTCAGTGGTACATTATCTCTGAACGCAAAGAATCCATTTAGTCATTAGGAGTTTTATATATTATGCAGTTATAGCTAAACGTAGTACAGATATAGAATACAACATATTCTATAAAGAATAAATTTATGCTATAATATTCTATTATAATTACATTATAATGTAAATTTAGAGCCTCTAAGCTAAAAGGTCCTTGTCATATAATATCAATCAACTATACACATACAATTTAATGGGTGAAAATATATTCTATTTTAAAGCAATTTCAGAAAGACTCATGGAAAAGAAGCATTTAAATGTTTTATTTCAAGTTTCTACCCACTTCAAGTGATCCAATTCCACAGGTACCCTGTTTCCCCTAAAATAAGACTCAACCAGAAAATAAGCCCTAGTTTGATTTTTCAGGGTGCTTGTAATATATGCCTTACCCCAAAAATAAGCCCCAGTTAAGATCGTCAGCCAGACGGACACATTTAGTACCGTATTTTCCCCAAAATAAGACCTAACTGGAAAATAAGCTCTAATGTGTCTTTTGGAGCAAAAATTAATATAAGACCCAGTCTTATTTTTGGGGAAACATGGTAGTTTGATGAGTGTCTTTTCAAAGAACCACAACTAGGTGAGAAAGACTCTTAATAAACAAGTCACTGTTATCTTTATAAAATAAGTCTAATTAAGAAATCAATCATGCATTAAACAAATTGGGTGCCATCCAGCTGCACTGAGATTGCAATCCAAACATTTCAGTCAGCAAGATAATTCTAATCAAGAATTCTTGGTGTGCTCCCGATATATCTGTAGCACAACAGTCTCTGAATAATGAATTTGTCCAGATCCCAGTTAAAGGCTATTAGTACATCATTTTATTGCAGTAAATAATAATTAATCAGATATTCTATAAAGTAATACTTTTAGAAATCTGCAAATCACAGATTTTCTTTTTCATTTGTAAAACAACCCCAAAATTTGGTAAGATTTGGGATTCTAAGGCCTATCACAGCTGTTGCTGGTACCTGGTTATAAAAGTGGAAATCTGACCCTGAACTAAGGCGTACTTTCTTGAGCTGCAAAAATACAGGATGACCATTAGATGGCAATGAGGGATTAATATTTTCTGCCTCTCTTTGCTATCAGCCAGAGGTTTCTGCTACCTGGATCTGTTGCTCATAGTAAATGTATAGAGGTAGAGGTAGAGATAGCCAGAAACAGATACAGAAATTTATTTTTTTTAAAAGATGGTGATTCTTTGCAGGGAAAGAAAAAATAGTGTACAAGGTGCCATTCATACTAGTTGCCTGTTACATTCAAACAAACCTTCCACTATTGCATTTCTGGTTAACAACTTTACAAGACTGCATCACTTTCAGGGAAAATATCCAAAGGCACTTTACTGCTGCGTGTAAAAATACCAGTGTGCTTTGTAATACTAGGTCTGTAGTAGTTAGATAATTTGATTATTTTCATACAATTATTTACTATCTTCTTGACAGCTCAAGGTAGTTAACAATGATGTACAGAGAGATTAATTGCAAACATAATTCCATCCTCTATAAAAACTGCCTATAATTGCCTATCCAATTGAGCAGTCAGACCAATTCATATGCAAAATAATTGTCTGAATAGGACAAATTTTGCTTCAGTGGAAAGGTAAGGTAACTCCATCTACTTTTGCAGTCTTAAGATGCTATCCCATTCAAACCATAAGGTGCTTCATTGTTTTTTGGTTTAGCTTTTCTTTGACCCTAGCATTTGTACTTTGAGAGTCAATTTGGTGTAGTGGTAAAGGCACCAGACTAGAAACTGGGAGACCAAGAGTTCTGGTTCTGCCTTAGGCACAAACCCAGCCTTGGGCCAGTCACTTTCTCTCAGCCCTAGGAAGGAGGCAATGGCAAACTACTTCTGAAAAGAAGTGCCAAGAAAACTGTAAGGGCTTGTGCAGTCTCTTGTCTAAGCAATCTCTGAAAATTGGACACATTTAACGTTCGGGGAGAAAAGTACTTTAAACTCTGGTTGTTGCTCAATGACACTTAAGGACTCAGTTTGCTGTGATTAATTAAATAAACCCATATTTTAAACACTTAATGGTTTGTACAATGGATGGACCCAATCATTATCCCCAATGTTAAGATTAATCAATCATGAATTACACAATAAAACTATGTATACTCCACAAATATCCTGACAAAAAAGGGCCCCATTTTAAATCACAATTCAGATCAATATATACAGTATATATACCATAGAAAAACCAAGAATTTTAGATGCCAAAATGCACCCCAAAATTTGGATTTGGCTTATCTGCAGATTGTCTGCTAATATATATGGTATATTTAATGCCTTAGGTATTGGACAGAGCAGAAAAAACTAGATTAAAGCCCTCATTCAGTCACATTAGCCCAACCTATTTCACAGAAGAAATGCTATATATGTTATGTATACCATCTGGAGGTCCTAAATGAGCTATACATTTAAGAAATGTACTGTCATCAAATTTACTACCGGTACCAACATGCCCAAAGATAGTAAAAGATTTTTTTGTTTACTGATTAGATTGCTATCATACCTTTCCATCAAGAAAGAATGGAACAAATAAATTACATTAGTAGATGTTTCAATTTTATATTAAACGAAGTTGTGGTCTTTTACATATACAAGCCATCTTTCTTCCTCCTGGAGATTCAAGAAGTTCTTAGCAAGTGCCACCTCTTCTGGAATATGGCTGTGCTTTGTGAGATAAAAGGACTGACAAATATAGAGAATGAACAGGTGGCAAGAAAATAAGATAAGGAAACAGAATGGCAAAGTACTCATTTATTTAGAAATAAGTAACAGGTGCAGTAGTAGTCATAAAGATAAAGATAAAAGACACAGTTTCCCAAATAGGCAATTTCCAGGAGTTGGAATTTCAATTCCCAGCATTCCACAGCCAGTATAGATGAGAATTCTGGGAATTAGTTGGTAAGCACCAATCACAAGAGGCAAGTATTATTCCCATTTGATGCATGTTGCAGAAAAGATGATTAGAGAGTAGACTTCTTTCTCTTTCTTTCCTTCTTTCTTTCTTTCCTTCCTTCTTTCCTTCCTTTCTTCCTTCCTTCTTTTTTTCTTTCTCTTTCTTTCTTCCTTTCCTTCTTTCCATTTTAAGACCTCTTTCATAACTACTAGTCCCCTTTTTTCAAATAAAGGACTAACTCATCAGGGAGAAAAGTTATAGCTGAGTCTATTTTCTTTTTGTTTTTTTCATTTGCAGTCATTTCTTAAACATAGGAAATCATTTAAGAAGAATCCAGCACCTGCAGTTAGGAATAATACAATCATTTCTATAATTTCACAGTTTACTGCATCAGTCATAAAAAAAATTATGATCAGATTGATTGGTCCACCAATTACTGGGTCACCAAAGGAATTATTTCAAATAAAAATCCAAGGTCTGAACCCCACAAAAACGCTGTCATTCTAAATTCTGCTCTTTTTATTCTAAATACAAGGAAGAATGAGAAGCTTTGATTAAAATAATAGAATCTGAATTCAAGTCGATCCAGCCCAAATTTAAGAGTCCATTTATTCACGATAATACTTTCCACAATTGTTACTTGTAGCACGTTCTCAGAAATCAGATTCCCTTTAAAAGCACTTGTTTTAACCTCAGTTTCCTTTCAATGTCATGGGACCAAATGTGATATTTTAAGACTGATATGGAGATTATGTATGAAATCTACATCAGAAATCTTAATAAAAACATTCTGATTTAAATAAACAACAAAATTTAGCGAAGAAATACAGCCAGCATTCAGATCTCTCTTATATTTCTGCAAAGATCAGCAGATGAGGTGATATTTCCTGTTTTATGATACTCCCAGTAACATGTGCAATGTTTGATCTTTCACTACATTTCAATCTTGTCTCTTTTCAGGCTAATGTGAGAATCAGGATGAGATAATAATTAAAGGCTGGGGGCAAGACTGGAGACCTCTATACAAATCTACTCCTAGTCACTGATTTTGTACCCACCCAGTGACCCAGTCCTCCTAGCCCAACTTACCTCACAAGGCTATAGTAGAAAATCAGAAAAAGGAGTATTATACTTGGAGTTTCTAGAAGAAAGACAGTGTAGGAAGTTAGCACCCACCCCTTTCCTGGAAGAATGAAATATTTTAAGAAATATTAAAAAGGCAGAATATTATGTTTCCCTGGATGAGAAATGGAGAAGCATGTTTTAAAGACAAAGCAGCTCCCACCTTCCTGCCTCCCCCCTTTTGTCAATGGGACAGAGGCAGAAACTCAATCTTTGTTAATGGGCCATAATCTGCAACACAATAGGACCCATCTAGGACAGAAACTGACCACATGGCACCTGGGAAGATTACATCAGCCAGCAAGGCTAGCTAAGACCCCCACCCTCTGGGAGTCTGACAACCAATCAGGATACTCTTTCAGGGCCCCAGGAAGTTCAAAGCCAGAGAGAGCATAAAACCCGGAGACTCGCTGTATCTTGCCCCTTTTCTGTTTAGGAACTCAAGCCATGTGATCCTGTCCACCAATAAACCATCTTTCCAAGCAGTCTCCATGTTTCCAGTGTCTTTTTCCCCATTTGGAGCAGAACCCAGAAGGATATTTCTTCCAACAACAGTATACAAATTAATGGAGTGTTGTGTATTCTAAAAATTTTCTTTTAAAAATGGAGAGATGTGGTTTTTTCACATTCCGTACATTCTGATGTCGATTTTTGGTGCTCTAAATTAACAATATCCACAGTCTGAAACTGTTATTCTCCCTTAAACTGTTGGGCAAATGCAAGAAAAGTTCTCATTATCAAAGGAGGCTGCAGTGTTACACAAATCTGCCTCTCCCGATTTTAATGGACCCCATTTAATCTGTTTTAGTAACTAATTCCTTGCAACTGGGATAAACTGAAGGGTCCATTACCAGATTCTGGGTCTCCCTCAAAAGCCATGAGGACTAGAAGCATAACATGCAGGAATGCAATCAAGCTTTCCATGAGAATTATATCCAGGACATTCTCTGTCCATCTCTTTATGAAATTTGCTTCCTAAAGCTAAAAGTAAAGATTCCCCTTGCACATATGTGCTAGTCATTCCCGACTCTAGGGGGCAGTGCTCATCTCCGTTTCAAAGCTGAAGACGTCTCTGTGGTCATGTGGCCGACATGACTAAACGCCAAAAACTCACGGAACGCTGTTACCTTCCCACCAAAGGTGGTCCCTATTTTTCTACTTGCATTTTTACATACTTTCGAACTGCTAGGTTGGCAGAAGCTGGGACAAATAACGGAAGTTCACCACATGATGTGGCATTGAGGATTCAAACCGCTGGCCTTTCGATCTTAGCCACTGAGCCACCACATCCCTGTTGGGATGTTTGCTTCCTTCATCACCTTTAAGCCAGTTTCCAACAAAACTTCTCACAACTGTGACTTCCCTCATCCTAATCTTTAGTTCTGGATGGGGTTGCATTACTTGAGACAGACCCACTGCACAATTTGGGGTTTCTTCTAGACTTGTGATTCCTGCTCAAAGAGCAGGTGACAATCATGGCTAGGAGAGTCTTTGTACAACTTTGTGTTGTGTGCCAACTGTGTCCTTTTCTGGATCAGGGTCACTCAATTCACCTTGGTCATTTCAAGCTTGGGACTACTGTGAAGTGCTCTACATGGGGCTACCCTAGAAGATTGCAAAGGCAGAGTTTTGGAAGCCCCTAGGGTGGCATTTGTAATATCACTGCATTATGATCAATATGCTTCTGGATGCAATTCAAGGTGTTGGTCATTACCTTTAAAGCCCACTCTGGCATCAGTCTGGGATATCTGTGGGACCATCTTTCCCCAATGGGATTGGCCTGCCCCATTCTTGCTGTCAGTAGGGGCCCTACTGCAGATCCCATCAGTCAAGGAATTTCAACTGGTGGGAACCGGAAGAGCCCTTTTTGCCATGGCCCCTGTCCTCTGGGACATTTTGCCACAGGAGGTGAGATCTGGCCCTCACCCTTCAGGAAAAGCTTTAAAACTTGGCTCTATGCAGGTTGGCTGAAGCAGCTTTTGGTTGGAGCTTTTGGTTGGTGCAGGAAATAGAGAAGACACCACCATCACCTCTCCACTCCAAATCCAAGGTTTTTGGTTTGTTTTGAATTTTTTTGTAATTTTATCCGGCTTTATATTCATAACTGTTTTTGTATCTGCATATTTTACCAGGTTGCAAGCCGCTTAGAGTCGCCTCCCACTGCGAGATGGGTGGGCAATAAGTTTAATAATTTATTAATTAGTAACATAATTGTGTTATTAATCCTCTTGGCACTGGGAACGACCGTATTAAACAGAAAGCAGAGCAGAGCAACGAGCGGCTTGTGACATCTTGCCAGCCCAAGCAGAAAACGTACATCACAAGTTATCTCTTGGGAGGGGGACACACACACACAGCACACACAACGCGGATGGTGCAATATTTCCCCGCGTCTCCACCAGGCTCCTGCCTGTTCCTTCCCCACCCTCTCTCGGGCTTCCCCTCTCGCTGTTCCCCCTCTCCATCTTCCCCCGCCTTTGCCAGTTTCCTTTCCGAAAACTGTCGCCGTGGCAACCGGCTTCAGCGGGACAAACTGAACGAAGGATGTGGTTTTGCATGAGACTTCAGCGATGGAACATTGCCATGGCAACCCGCCCGCGCCGCCCCTCAACCAGGCTCCGCCCGAGCGGATCCGGCCGGGCGGGGCGGGGTGGGGGGGGGAAGAGGAGAAAAACGAGAGTCTTGAAAGGGTGAAGGCAAAAGGAAGGAACGAAGCAGGGAACTGTTAGTCTCGCACATGCGCAGTGGGAGGGACGGGACTGGGAGGTAAGAGGAAGGGTTTATTGGGAGGGGTGGGGCTTAAAGGCCGCTGTAATTTTGAAGGGGAACAAAGGAGCGGAGTCCTGTTAGGCGGATTGCTGGGATTAGGCAGGGCCTACAAGTATTATTTCTAGCCACGTGACTTTGCAGCAGCCCCCCCCCCCTCCTGTGGCCTTCCAGGACCTTAAGGGCTGACATGTTGAAAGGGCTTTGGTATGAGTTGTTAAATTGGGGTTGCCAGACTGTGCCCCGTTTATCACATGGCTGTTTATCACATGGTAGCGGGACCCTCCAGGTCCTTGGGGGTTGAAGTGACTAGGGAAGGCCTTTCCATGAACAGCAGAGTCCCATGACTAGAATTTGATGATGTCAGGCTTCGGGGTTACCTAGCAGGATTTGAAAAAGAAATTATCCCCATAGGAGTCAGTGCCTCCTATGAAGGATTGTTTTGATCTTCCATAGGAGGCGCCTGGATTCTGCTTTATTACACATAGTGTAAACAGGCAGGGACTGTTGTGATTTCAACTACTTATCCTTTGGGATCTCAAGTTCTGAATCTTAGTACGACATGCTGAAAGGAGGACTAGATCTGTGTGTCTCCACTCTTAAGCTAGTATCCAGTTAGAGCCTGCTAGGACAGTGCATCCTAGGCAAAGTTGATGTACTACAGGTAGCCCTCGATTTACGGCCACAATTGAGCCCCAGGTTTTTGTTGCTAAGTGAGATATTTGTTAAGTATGTTTTGTCCCATTTTACAACCTTTTTTGCCAGAGTCGTTAAATGAATCGCTGCAGTTGTTACGTTAGTAACATGGTTGTTGAGTGAATCCGCTTCCCCATTGACTTTGTCATAAGGTTACAAAAAGTATCAGAGGACCCTAGGGCAATGTGGCCATCATAAATATGAATCAGTTGCCAAGCGTCTGAATTTTGATGACATGACCATGGGGTTGCTGCAATGGTTGTAAGTGTAAAAAACGGTCATAAGTCACTTAGTGCCATTGTAATTTCGAACAGTCACTAAATGAACTGTTGTAAGTCAAGGACTACCTGTATACCATCTAACAAGCTTGACATGTTATTAAAGGCATGCAAACACATAAGATTGACATAATAAAGTGGCAACCTCAATTTTAAGGCACTGCAGAGCATGGAAGTGTTTACTCCGTTCATGGGTCTGAGTTGATACTATGCATGTATTGGAGGAAGATTCAATCAAATTGAAAAATGGAATGCAAGCAGAAGTCCAAGAAGAAAAAGTTTGGAAAAGAAAGTAACCTGGAGTGAGGGTTAAATATGAGGCAAATACAAGACAAGGTTTTGGGGAGGAGGATATACATCCATCTAGGCAGAATGTATAGAGAATAGAGCAATACCTAAGATTTAAAAATGGTATAGAATTTGACTAGGCAGCTGTGATTAGTTTGAAGATCTAGTGACAATTAACAGTGATAAGCCTGAATGGGATGTTGGTATAATCTGAAAGTTTAAAACTTTATAGTATATAACATGATAGAAAATTACAGAAATGTATGGAATGTAAAGTAGATGATGGGGATAGGAAACAGAGCAATATATCATGTCCCTGGGTAAACTTAAAAGATTTCTTGAGGTTAACAATAAATATACATTCTTGTGCAATCTTGTTTTAACTCATTCTATTGTAGTGTCCTCTTAACAAGTGCTGGAACTATGATTTAACAGCTCTCAATCTATCATATTTTTTTATTTTTTTAAAGTCAAGGGATCTGTCACTTTCTAATGTTTCTCCTTCCCTACTGTAACTCATTTAACCTTTTTTTAAACTTCTGACCTCCAATTTTTAATCCATTTTATTTGGTTGGCATCCAAAATTACCTCTAAATGAATCAAGGAAACACTTCGGTTAGTTGGGTATAACTCAACACTTTTTCTTCTCCTTCCCCTCCCATCTTTCATCAGGATTGGTGGAAAGCTGATGCATTTCTTGGAGATGGTTGCTAACAACTGAGTGAACAAAAGCAACGGGTGATGTTGGCTGGAGAGATCAGAAGACTGTATCAGAGCATACCAAAATACTGAATGCCTAAATATTAATTGTATATTTGTCATAAGGGTTTTTTAGAGAACAAGGTACTTTTATTATTTTTTGTTGGGGAGGGAGTGCTGATTTCACTCAGGTTTCAGATGCTAGGAAATTATTAGGCTACGGAGAAAGGTTTGCAAGATAGTGATGAATGTGAAGATAAAAATGAAGGAGGTTTTGTGGTTTTGAACTGAGTCATATTCAGGCAAGGATATTGAAATGGAACTGATTCTAACAAACTCCTAAATCCTCTTGGGCAAATAATTGCATTTTAGCTAAAGTTTCCTCCTAGAATTGCTTTAAGTAAAAACAACTGTGGTAGAAGGGTGAAATGCATTTTCTCATTAAAAGAATATTTGTGCTATATGGAATATTTCTTTTGGGGGAAAGCGGATAAAGCTAAGGAGCTAGAAAGATAATTTTTAAACAGTTTTGGGATCATTGATGAATTCAGGTGGTCTTTCAGGTGATCCTTTAGATAAATTTTGAGATAGCAATGGACCTAACTGCTGAAAAGATAAACGGTTGTTAATTTTATGAAAAGTGAAAGTGTCTGTTCAACTTTGCAGACAATTGCTGAAATAACTATAAGCTTTATTGTTCAGCCAGTTTAAGAAACCTGGAAGGCAGGCTTCTGTAATCTGTTGCCCTCCAGATATGCTGGGATCACAATTCTCAGACTACCAAACTGCATAGTTTATTAGGCTACATTTGATTGGGATTCTGGGAACTGTCATCTCAATACTTTGGAGAAGAGATAATTATGACTAGATTTTTCCATGATCTCCTATGCAGAGACTTGGTGACAGCCAGATTTTAAATGTGGCAGTAACAGTCAGTGTTACGTTATGTTCTCCCATGTTCAAGCTTACTCATATCATATAGGAAGTCTTGACTCATCCTTAGATTGAGACTCCAGATTATGAACTTGCCATTCGACCTTGCTAAGGTTCAACTTAAGTCTGTTCCTCCCCAAATAACCCAGTCAAGACTCTTCATTGCATCATTTTTCTAACCCAGTGCAGACATTTAAAGAGTAATATCATCAACATGTTGATGATACTCACCCTTTGCTGCTGAGTGACATTACCCAATGGCTTCATGTAGCTGTTAAATAAGAGTTAAAAAAGAGCCTTGGTAGTACAGGGGTCTAAGGCACCCTGTTATTAAGCTAGTTATTAAGACCAGCTGCCTGCAATTACTGCAGGGTTCGAATCTCGCCAAGGCTCAAGGTTGACTCAGCCTTCCATCCTTTCTAAGGTAGGTGAAATGAGGACCCAGTTTGTGGGGGCAATAAGCTGACTTTGTATAAATATACAAAAGGATGAAGGCTATTGCTGAGCACATTGTAAGCCGCCCTGAGTCTCCGGAGAAGGGCGGCATATAAATCAAATTAAAAAAAAAAAAAAAGAGGAGCAAAAGGGCCTGTGGCATTCCATAATGGGCTCTATTTCATTCTCTCCATCAAGATACTGGCCGTTCAGGAATAAGAACCACCATTAAAAAAGGGTGGCTGCACTCTTGCAGAAGCATATCATGGTGGTATGTTGAACTCTGGTTCAAAGGCGTACCATGGGTGGTATGAAATCTGTGGGCAAAAATGACAAGTTTAGGAGGGCGACGCTCTTTCCCCCCCCCCATCTCATAAAAGGCTACCAGGCAGGACAACAAGTGCAATTTTCATCCCGTAATTCCCTGGTTTGAATTTTAACAGATAGACATCTAGATATTCCTTTTTAATATTTTCCCAAATAGAATTACAAATAATTCTACAGAAGATTCTTCTATTTCACAGTTTTTAATACTCTGTCTTCTGCATGTTTAACTTTATTTGTCATTTAATGTCGACATGGAGGAAGAGGGTGCTTATGTCACTACTTTTGGTAAGCCTTTCCATTAGATATAATTCTTAGCTGACACAAAACAATTAGGGAATGACTATTTACAAGTTGTGCATTTCAGTATTATAGCTCTATTTTGGGAAACAGCCATGGAAGAAAAAAAATCACATTGAATTGAGAAGATGAAAGGAACATGATATATAGTACATTACACAAGTTAAGTTATACTAAGTACCAGAAGTGAGCATCTGGTGAGGATTTCTTTTATAGGAATAGTTGAAATACTCACTTTTATGGAGCATCATTTTAAAAGGAAAGGTATTTACTGGTAGTTCGTTGTTTCATCATTGCCATTTAAATGATAGCCATTTGGATTTTAATCTGCTCTTCAGAGGGTTTAGGACAGTGCATATAGGCATCTTCCACCCATATAGTTATATAGGTTAAAACATGTTCTCCAAACACATAGACTCAACTTCTACATGGTTGGCCAGGTAATTCTAGGATTGGTGGAAAGCTGGTCCATACTTCTTAAAATTGTCAATATTGAGAAATCCTGGTGTAAACCAATAACTCTTAGTGGCTTAGATGGTAAAGAATCATTATAGTGGTTGCAAAACTACACTTTGCTTGTCCCTAAACAAAAAGAACAAAGTAGGCTTGTGGTTAAGGCCCACTCTACAGTTCCATGATTTGCATAAATTTGTTTGTTGGAGAAAACAAATTGGTTGGATGTGTATCATATGCTAAGTCATAAATCAGTTTTACAACAATAATATTTAAATTTATTCAACATGCTAAGCCAGAGGTGTAACACATGATGGCTAAGCATGTGTAAAACTGGGCCCCAGGAAATGTTACGACACCAGATTTGAATTTGGGGCTCCTTAATTGCAGTTTGAAGCTTTTAGCCATTTTTCACATGCTACTTTCATAAAACAATTATTTTCAGAAAGTGATACAATGTTTCAGAATTCTCATTCTCTTTCTCTCACAGATAGAAGTTGAAGATGCCATTCTTCAAATCTGCCTCAAGCTTTCGTTCGGAGAGTAGTGATGGAGACCTAGAAGGCATAGGTAATTTCCAAGAGAGGGAAGAGGATATTGTGGTGGTGGTGATGATGGAGACCTAGAAGATATGGGTAACTTTTAAGGGAGAAGTTATTGCAGTAGGAACTGTCTGCACTGCTAGATTCTACATTGGGATTAGAGCCCCTGAAACAAGCCTGTAATATGATTTAAGTGTTGAAATAGGAAAGCAAGAAGCTATCTTACAGTTCGTGTTATGTGTCCCTGTTTGTTTATACTAGGAACTTAAAAACACACTGAACTAGGTCAAATGTATTTAAACCACTATTTGGTTTTTATGATAATGATGAACTATACTTAGTCTCTAATAATTGACATTGATACTCTTTTTGCTGACTATAAAAATAAACTTCCACAGTTAGTTATGTTCTGTTAGCTAATATCTGGATTTGGTGAAGGTATGGTGCAGTTTTCCTCATTGACTGGGACAGTTATTTCAAAGTGACTGTCAGGCTACGAAGTTTTGTTCATCCTCCTTGCAAACCATATCTCTATCAGTGACTTGAGACTAACTTCTATTGGCATCCTGCTGTCAATTGAGTTGACAATGCAATGCAATACAATACAATACAATACAATACAATATTTTAGCATGAGAGTTGGATAACTGTGACTTTAAATCACTAATGGAGAATCTGCCATAATAATTCAAGTTCCCCCTGCTTTTCTATCCTGTTGGAAAGCCCTTTATCCCCATAGATCAAAAGATTTGGCAGGCAGTAGCTAAGGACTTAGAGCAAGTGTATTTTTGACATTTAGATTTACTGAAGGTTTCCCAGAATTTCATCGTCTATTTTATGTGCTGCAATTTTTCTCGGTCTAAATCTGTTATAAAATATCTGTATCATCTTCATTTCAAATATAGCTTGACAGTTTCATAAAGGGTATTTGACTGGAGGTGTTGCTGTGGTTTTGTTTCAAAAATGTTGATGTACTGCCATGGAAAGCTGTGAAATCTTTAGAGAAAAAAGTTGAGAAAATGTAAACTGTATAGTAAAGTGTGCAAATGTGCACCGCTAAAAGAGCTTCTTGCTGACTGAGCAAACAATAGTGCAAAATAGGGTGGGGAACAAAAATTGAGGTAACAGAATCGTTGCATATCTCCCCATTGAATCAAATAATAGTATTCTGTTAATTTTTGATTGGAAGAGATTGGGAGCTCATTCTCAAGCCAGATTAAAATGCTGCCAAGGAAGCCAGTTTTTGAAAATGAACAGGCAAGAAATAAGCTCTTTGTATCCCAATAATAAAGGGGCCAAAGAAACAGAACCAGGGCACCGTGGCTGTTTTCCACATGCCTTGGTACATTTTGTGAGCTACTCTTTAAGCTAGAGCTCTTCATTGTATATTGGTTTTGAAATTGGAACTAAATTAAAGAAAACACAAAAGTCTTTGCTAGCATATGGGGATAGCTAGGGGCATGAGTCTCTGGTAGTACGAGGACCCGGAGAGTGAGTCAGTAAACTGCGAATGAGCAAGTATGTCTGCCTGTACTTGACTTCAGAATTGTCCAAAGCAAGACAGAAACAGAGGCAGATGGATGGAATAAAGCATGTATCCAGATCAGATTAAGTTGCATAAAAAACTTATTCCCTTTTTCTAGGCAAGTATTTCACATGTTCAGAAGAAGCGCCACCATTTTTATTTCCCAAAAAACCCTATAGGGCAGTGATGGCTAATCTTTTTGCTATCGCGTGCCAAAAGTGGGTAATCTTTTTGCTATCGCGCGCAGGGAGATCACCCACGTGTGTGCCCACACCCATAATTCAATGTGCTGCCTGCCCCTCCCCCCCCCCCGCTTTTAGCACGTGATGACCTAGTGGGCCCGGTAGGCCTGTTTTTCACCCGCCTCAGGCTGCAGAGGCTGTCCAGGAGCCTGGGGAGGGCGAAAACGGCCTTCTCCACCCCCCTGGAGGCCCTCCGGAGACTGGAAACAGCCCATTTCCCAACTTCCGGTGGGACCAGAAGGCCCAAAAATCAGCTGGCCGGCGCATGCATGTGTGCTGGAGCTGAGCTACGGCAACGTTCGCACACCCACTGATAATGGCTCTGTGTGCCACCTGTGGCACCCATGTCATAGATTCGCCATCACGGCTATAGGGCCTTGATACATTCTTCTAAATAAAGGCAATGCTTTTCAACAAGCTAGCTTCTCATCTACATTTTTAATGAATTTTTTACTGGAAAAGCAAAATATATGGGGCAGAGGGACTTGCCAGGGTTATGCAAGGAAGGTATCTGTGGCTGCTTTAGTGTTTCTGAGCATTATGTTGTTTATCTCTGATCTAGACAGTAAGTTTGTGTATTCTCAGTTTGACTCCATAGCACAGAGGTGGGTAACTATGGCTCCTTTATGACTTCTGGACTTCAACTCCCAGAATTCTGGGAGTTGAAGTTCACAGGTCATAAAAGGGCCATAGTTCTCTACCCCTTCCATAGCATATGATCTGAAATTCAGAAGGTATCCTGGCGAAAAGCAGAAATTATTTTCCCTTTGGTTAGGTTCCTTATGGATATGTGTGAGATGATACAGCTTTTGGTATTCTTGGCAGGTGCACTATGAGATTGGTGGAAAATAAAATATTCTGATATATGAGTACAAGAATAACTGTCCTGATTTTATGGCAAGTGGTTAAACTTCAGGGAACAATCTAAGCCAGAGGGTCTTCAAAGAGTGTAGGGAGATTGTAGTAAGACAGTGATATATATTGATTGGGCAGGGAGAAAACTGAATTTAAGCAGAAACATCTAGTTCTCTGCGTTCTTAAAAGTGCTTTTTATAAAGTAATATAGGTGCGTTAAGTTTAGCAAAGACAGAAAAGTAATTTGTGACCACCTATAAGCCCTCACTATTTTTTGTCTAAGCCACAAAAACTGGAACTTGAAAATTAGCTTGATCCAGAAAATTAATATTGGCCAAAGAAGATACTGTCTGTTTATGCAGAGGTTCATACACAGATCATAAAGCATCTCATTACACAAACTAACAAAATCTATTTATTTGGACAGGGCCAGAGAACAAAATAGAGATAAGATTCTCAATCCTAAACTCAGTGATCCCTACCCCAGTTGTTTTGCTCCAGATGTGATAAACAGGTCTTTTAGAAGGATTCCTGCTTCACCTTTCAGTGATTGGGAGGGGACCTCAGCAAAAAATTACCATACTGGGTTGTCGTTCTTATCACTTTTCTTTCTTTCTACCTGCATTTCCCATGACATTGTCTTCCACCAGCTGAAGGCGAGTTGGCCAAGTTGCAACGCCAGTTCCGCCTTTTAGAAGGTGACCGCCATGCTTATGCCTTGGAGTCTCGTGAAACCATCCGCAGACAGACGTACGTATTTAATCAAATATCGTTCATCAATTCTTCATTTCTCAAAATGTATTGTGAAACCTTCAGCATGTATAGGCTGGGAGGAGAAACTACCTTTTCCTTTAATCTTATGCAAGAGTTAAACAATTATAATTTAATTGACCTTATATTAGGGGCAAAGTAAGAGAAATGAAGGTGATTTGGAAGAAACTTCTCATGAGCTTTTATATACTTTTAAAATGTCTCACTGTTATATCTACTTCATTCTTCAGATGCATTGGACCTCAGCTCCTATTTTGGCCATGGGATTGAATGGGGTCAACTTCAAAACACATAAAGATGCTTTTTCAAAAAAGGCATAAAGGTGCTTTTTCTGGAAGACTGTTCAATCAGAATCAGGTCTGATTGAATGTTGGAGAATGGAAGGAGTTATATTCCTTGCAGTCATGTAAGGACCACATGACTTCAAGGAATATAAATCCTTCTGTTCTCCACCGTTCAGTCAGAACCAATGAAGCTTCTTGGATGAGAAGCAAAACATCTTCAAGAAAAAACAAAGTAAGTCCAGTTGCCTTTTGAAAGAAAGCATCATAGAAGTCATAATATGCCTAATTGGATAGATTTGGGGAATTATGTAAAATCTACGAAATCTGTTCCAATTGCTATTATTAGAAGTAGCATTAGAAATAATTTAACTTCCCTCAGATGTCCATCTTGTTTGCTTCCAGCCTTAAACATTTTTAGCCGAGTAGCTGATTTCTTACCTTATTATTTTCCAGTCCTGAATAATTTCATACTTTCTGAGCCTCATCTTTTTTTGGTTAGCAATGACACCCTGCATGCATTCTTTGATTTCAATCTTTTGAGCTCTCATTTCCAGATTTGGCTTTTGAAACAGTCTGGATATTTTATGCCTTACTTCATGGAGAAGACTAAAAATTGAAACATTAAAAAAAAAATCAGTCTCTTTTCCCTTTCTTTCTTCATATGCTGATCCAGATGTTGACATAATGCTGATGCACATGACAACTGCTATGCTCTTAGTAACATATAATTGACCATTGTGAATGCGCATGAGTTGCTTTTATTTAATACCATGTGGCCATGTGGCCTACCCCACACAATGCTATACATATATACATCCATTTTGTAGGAATAATTGGTGTCTACCATTATGTGTTCTTACAGAATTGCGCAGTATTGATCCCGGATTTTATCCGTCTTCATCCTATCCCTTTAATCCAGTGTATTCCCAGAGAATCCAGTATTCCTACTTTCTTTCCTCTTTTTATTTAAACTACTTCATTTTGCCTTCTATCAGGAGAACATCCCTTCCTGGTTTTCTATGTAGGCATTCAAAAATTATACCAACTTCAAGGGAACCATGTATTTTTATTTCCCCTGCTTACTTTACAGTGACAAGTTCTATTATCCCAACAGTCATCTCTGCCCCAGACAATTAAGCTCACAGATTTCCTAATGCAAATATTAGAGCGGATTGTCCAAACTGGCTGTCTTTTAAATACACATTTTACCTGACTCTCCATTTACCCTTTATTCCCCAGTCATAATTTGTGAAATACATGTTCAATTGCAAGTTCATAGCCCTCTAATCTTTCCTTGCCCTGTGCCACAAACTCTCCCGAACTGGCGCTGCCACCACTCCCAACCAAAATTCAACATCACCACCACCACCACCATGAACATCTTGTTCCTGCCCACCAGGCTGCATCTCACCACACTATTTTACCATCTCTGAAAATCCCCACTTCATTTTTGTTGGACAGGGTTGAGGTCAAGCGCCTGGAAAAAGAGAACGAAGATCTACGATACAAACAGGCTGTGGCTGAGGGCCATGCCAACCAGAAGAAGGAAAAAGCCCAAAGTGAAATTCTCCGGTCCTTGTTGGCTGAACGGGATGCAGTGAAGGAACAAATAATGAAAGAAAAAAAGCGGATAACTCGGCTTGATCAGGAGGTATAAAGAGACAGGATAAGACCAAGATTTATTTTTCTAAAGTGGGATGAAGCAGCAGGTTGGGGAGCTAGGATTCTGGGATTTTAGAAGATTGATGTAGTTACAATATGAAAGAACAAGAGATTAGGCATGTACTGATACATGGTTTTAGAGACAGTATGGTCTAAGATGGCTGTCCACTACATAACATCCAGTTGATGTATTGGGTTTTCAATTTTTAAAATACTCAGCCTTTTGGTCATATTGCTGAGAATTCTAGCAATTAACAATCCTCCTACATTAGGGAAAAACAATACAGGTAGTCCTCAACTTACAACTGGTTGCTTAGTGATTGTTCAAAGTTAGGCTGACCCAAAAAGGGATTTATGACTTAGATCTGAAGTTCCAACAGTCAGACCCCCTTCATGTTCACATGATCAAACTTTGGACGCTTGGCAACTCGGCCACATTTATGGCTATTTGCAGCATTCTGTGGTCACATCACTGCATTACACAACGATTTCGCTGAAAATCGGCACTTCTGGATTTCAGCAAACCATGCTTAACAGTTGTTGTAAAAAACCATAAAATGAGTTTGGTTGCATGACTGACCCATTCTGTGACCATCACGACAAGACTGCAATAGGCAGGTTTCATTATGGTCATATGTCCACAACTATCTATACTGTCTTTTTTTTTTCCAGATGTCTTTCACATTCAGAAAATTGGAAATTGATACAGGAGTAACTGAATTAAGATTTAGACCTCTGGGTTAAATATAGGGATGAAGAATGCAGCAGGGGTTGGCATTTAGAGCCCAAGATCAAACGTTAGAGCAAAAGATGTGAGAGAATATGGATTTCTCCAAATATCTAATTTCTCGGGTCTGAAACTAAACTGCATTTCATTTCCATTAACTACCATAATTTCCTTTCCTGTTATTAATAGATCGAAACCTGGGAGAACCGTTTGGCTGACCGGAAGCAGACGATGGGCAGTGACAGCATGATACAGGAACAGAGAGCCCATTTGCAAAGAAAGATTCAGACAGTAGAAAACCAACTAGATAAGGTAAAAATAGTCAGGAATACCCAGATTTGGTGACGGAATTTGTGGTTGGTCTAAACTTTCTTCATTCTGCTCTCTGTTTCCAGATTACCTCTGAATTCAGTTCTCAACTCGTCTTGAATTCACAACTACGTGAAGATCTAGAAATTCTCCGAGTTGGACATGATCACTTTGAACAGCAGCATAAAGATTTAGAGGAGGTAAAGTGAATTTAAAAGACAATTATTGAATTTGTTGGGATTCTTGGCTAACAGAATTTCAAGGAAGACTGGAGTCATGTTATAAGAGAATGAGGTTCTGTTAGAGAATTCTGGGATTCAGTTGCTTAGCGAGAACTTTTGTCCAGAATGGAAAGATGTGATTGGCTATTTCAGTATCTTAAAACTGAGGTGCCAAATTGGCAAATAGGAAATTATGGGCTTAAAAATGTGGTTTGGAATTATTTATTTTGGGTTATAAAGCTGAGAACATAATTTGACAATGAAATTCTGATGCTTTGAGTTATATCTGGTTCTGCATACATTTGCTGTTGAAATCATTATCCAGAATATTACCGTCTGTCAAAAATACATGTTGACTGGTCACCCACTTTTTGTAGTATTTCCCAAATGTAAGATGTTGCACATGTATGAAATTACATGGTGAAGATTACCTTGCTTTATTTGTTAATGAAAACATTAACAAATAAATGGATTTCTTGACTTTTTCCATGGAAGTAGAACCTGCAGCTTTTGATGCCGCTGCAGATTTCCCAAACGCACCTAAAGGATACTTTATGCTTGTGGAATTACACCCTAAAGAATAATCATCAAGCCCAATTTCATTCTTGAGATTCGTCAGAGTTTAGGAATAAGAGAATTAAAAAGAAAAACGTATAAATAGGCATGTTGCTAAGTTGAAGGTGAGGATATTTTGGAGAGAATGAAAGCCCAGTGACTGGGCTTCAAAAAGGACATGGAACCTTTGTGCAGAATGGTTGTGTTGCAACAAAGGTTTTCTTTCTCTGTTTGTCTCTCTCAGGAACTGCTGGAGACTCGTAAAACCATCATCAATGTGGTCAGCACCTCCTCTGCAGCATATGATGCAAGGTTAGAGGAAAGCAATGCTCAGTCGTTGTTGGGAACCTGTTCCTGGATCTAGATGTGGTCTTATATTGCAAAGTTTATACTTCCACTAGTTCAAGATTGCTGCTTAAATGTTATGCTGCCTTCCCTTTTATCTGTAACTTTCACTTTACTTGTCTGATTGATATGGCTGCCTATCTCACCTAAAGTGGTAGACATTAAAACCAGGAATTAAAACATGTTAGAACAATAAGAATACATTAAACAAGACCACAAGAGTGAAGACATTAACATACAATATAACCAACGTGCGGGCTTCCAAATTACCAGGAAATCCCCAGTCTTGCAATAAAAACCACATTTTGAGGTCTTTCTGGAAGGTCATAAGGGTTGAGGCTAACCTCACCTCAGGAAGGAGATGTTTCAGAGGATGGATGCCATAGCAGAAAAGTTTCACCTCCTAGGTCCTGTCAGATGGAATTACTTCTCAGAATGGGACCTGCAGAAAGCTTGTCTTGCCCAAACTTATGGAATGGGTAGATGTTGTACGGAAGAAGTGCTCCCTCAGATAACCCTTTAAAGCTGTGGTGAAATGTAAAATTTGTTACTACCGGTTCTGTGGGCGTGGCTTGGTGGGGGGGTTAATGTGACTGAGTGGGCGTGGCCAACTTTTTTTTTTTTTTACTTTTAAAATCATTTTTTCTACAACCTCTTTGGCCAAAGAGGTTGTAAAAAAATTGCTTTTAAAAGCCTCTGATGATCAGGCAACTCAGCTGGGATCATCAGAGGATTTTAAAAGCATTCTTTCTACAACCTCTTTGACTGAAGAGGTTGTAGAAAAAATGCTTTTAAAAGCCTCTGACGATCCCAGCTGAGCCACACGATCATCAGAGGCTTTTTTTTTTTTAACTTTTAAAAGCATTTTTTTGGCCAAAGAGGTTGTAGAAAAAATGCTTTTAAAAATAATAAAAAAAAGCCTCTGATGATCGCTCGGCTCAGCAGGGCATGGTGGGTGGGGGCAGGGATTTTTGCTACCGGTTCTCCGAACCACCCACCGCCATCACTACCAGATCGGGCGATCTGGTCCGAACCAGGCGCATTTCACCCCTGCTTTAAAGCCCATGCCATGTAGGGCTTTAAAGCCGTGGTGAAATCCATTTTTTTTTTTTGCTACCGGTTCTGTGGGCGTGGCTTGGGTGTGGTGTGGCTTGGTGGGCATGGCAGGGAAAGGATATTGCAAAATCTCCATTCCCACCCCTCTCTCGGGCCAGACAGAGGTAGTATTTGCCAGTTCTCCAAAATACTCAAAATTTCCACTACCAGTTCTCCAGAACTTGCTGGATTTCACCCCTGCTTTAAAGGTCAAAAACAGCACTTTGAATTGGACCTGGAAGCAAACTGGCAACCAATGGAACTCACAGAGCAAAAGTATAATGTCTGTCCATCTACAACAGTGTTTCTCAGCCTTGGCAACTTGAAAATTGGACTTCAACTCCATGCCAGTTGGGGAATTCTGGTAGTTGAAATCCACACATCTTCAAGTTGCCAAGGCTGAGAATCACTGATTTAGGGATACATACAATTGGCCCATGCCACTGCATTCTGCACCAGCTGAAATTGATATTCTTCATGAATACTCTTCTCTATCTATGCATTGTGGCGGTTTCTTAATTATTAACCATGCTTCTTCCATAGTTCAAACTTTTAATATTCTCCCTTTAATATCAAAACTGGTCTTTTACATTATGTAAAATAACCGTCTGCTTTGAGATCACTGAAATTATATGCTCCTGTGCATGTATGCAAACCATACCACGAAGACAATCTTGCATTGTGACTTTGGCTAAAGGTGACATGAACACTGCAACCTGTCTATGGTACCCTGATCTCCCAAATTATGAAGTCTAACCTCGTTCTGATGTTCTTAGTCCATTACTGTTGGATTTATTACCTTTCCATAAACAGAAGAACTAGAAATTGAGCCAGGATATACAATTTAGGGCCTGTCAAATTTTTCAGCTTTCAATTTCCAAACATTAGAGGTGCTCAAAAGTTGTGACATGCCTTGGGGATTGTAAAGATATTTTGGTTACTTTAATATAATTTAGATGTGCTTGGTAAGTAACTACATAAATATCATAACCTTTTACCATTTTGTTTGTTTTACATCATATGATGTATGTGTAAAACACAACCATTGTAGTTCGTAAATTGTGATTTTGGTTTAGAATCCAGCCAATTGTGGCTTATTTGGAAAACCTGGATAAGCATATCATGGCTCAGCATGATGATTAGTGAAGCCAGTCTCAATTAATTGGAAGTTAGGAGTGGAGTATAGTCTCACATTTAATGCTTTCTATTATCCCTTTCCTAATCCATCTCAGAATACTTAGACAGATTAACAATATAATATAGTAGGAAAAGTTAGGAATCTGGATTCTTGAGTTCTTAGAAGCTGTTTCGAGTCTAGTTTGATTCCTAGCCAACAGTTAGAACTATAAGCTTAGCAGGCACGGGCATCTGCAGCAGGTGGGCAGTGACAATACATGTGCCTTGACAGAAGTAATATGACTTAGGTATTCACCTCAGATGTCCAAATCCAAGTACTTAACTGTGTTATATGTGCAATGGCATCACGTCACACTTGTCATTTTGACGTTGCTGTGGCTTATTTCCGGTGCCTGTGCTTGTAGGCTGTGATTCATGACATGATCAATGTGTTTAAAGCAAAAACTAAGCCATTGAGAAGAAATCTAGCAAGTGTCAAGGGTAAAATGCAAGCAGTCCTACATAAAACAGAAATAAGGCTCAGTTCTTGCTATCTTTCTCACCACAATGGGTCTTTCTGACCCATTGTGAGCACCACAATGGGTCAGAGGCCTTCTCCTTTTATTATTTATTTATATGCCTTCTCTTTTTGGGTGGCAGAAGCTGTTAGTCTCCCGGTTTGTTTGTTATTTAAGGAACTGCTCAGATTTTAGGTTGTTTGCTTCTGACATTTTAAGCGATCTACTTAAAAAGATGTTGAGACTAGAAAAGGTTCAGAGAAGAGCAACAAAGATGATTAGGGGTCTTGAGGCCAAACTATACAATGAATGCTTGGGGGAACAGATATGTCTAGCGAAGAGAAGGACTAGGGGTGACATGATAGTCTTCCAATACTTGAGGGACTGTCACAGAGAAAAGGGTGGAGCTAGACTCCAAAGTATCTTCTCAGCACGAAAAATGACAGATGCGATATTTTCAAGAAGACATTGGACAACCTTTGTCCAGAATGATATAGAGCTTCCTGCTCAAGAAGAGGGTTAGACCAGAAGACCCACAAGGGTTATTCCATGATTCTAAAACAAAACCACAAGGAAGAAAGGCAGGCACTAATAAGCAGGAGCAAAAGTGGGAGAGATTGGAGCCCTAAATACTAATGAAGTAAATGTTCAATCTCCTGAATAAAGTTTATTTCATGGGCATTAGGGATTCCTTTCCCTAACCTCATCCCTTTTCTTTTTTCCCACCCAAGTGGACTTTCCTCAGTTGATGTAACTGAAAGATCCCAGGCTGGATAAACTGGGATTGAAATTTAGCAGAAATCTTTTTAATTAGAGATACCAGGAATTCAGCCTGCACTCATTCCATTGTGAGAAGAGTGCTGGGCTAAAGTTGGAGGAAGCTTTCTGACCCACAGGTGCTTTCGGCTTCTTTGCAGATGGAATCATCTGTGCCTTGACCTTATGAAGAGAAGTTAGGAATTGGTTCTGCCCACCTCTGAAATCTTGCCCTTATTTCTTCTTTGGGATAAATGTAGGGATGAAGCCCATGCCCGTTTGGGCCAGTTGCGAGACAAAGCAGAGAAGGACTTGAAGCAGTATATCTCTGAGATGAAAGAATTGGAGCGCTTCCTGGAGAATGACCGGCGCGTGTCTGAATTCGTCAACATCAAGCTGCAGGAAAGGACGTTCACTGAAGAAGCACTGAGAGCCAAGGCAAAGAAACGTGTGTATTTATTGTGCATAGGATTGACTTACAAATTTCCATCTTTAGAAGGGAAGGTGACTTCGAAGCTGTAGAAAGCAAGCTCTGAGTCAGGAGGGATGCACTGATTTAAAAGCAAGCAGTTATGGCATTCAACCGCCTGAGTAACTGCCCCTGTTAAGTTACTTGAAGCCAGCCATTTTATTTATTTTTTTAAATTTATACGCTGCCCATCTCACTATCAAGCAACTTGCAATACCATAAATAACAGTATAAAGAAGTTTAAAGGTTAAAAGCATTTATTTATTTATTTATTTATTTATTTATTTATTTATTTATTTATTTATTTATTTATTTATTTATTTAGGCTTCCCATCTTACCACAGGGTATTTCTGGGCAGCTTACAGTTACATATAAGCTAAAACATAAAATGTTAAAATCAAACTTTACAACCAAAGACACATGAGGAGGGTGGAGGTGGAGGGGGGCAGGAGATGGGATCTGTTACCTTACTCAATCAAACGCCTCCATTGCACTGATCCCTCACTGAGGCCCCGAACTGATTGGCACAGCCACGTCTTTAGGCCCTTACAAAAAGATAGGAGGGTCTGGTTCACACCAGAGACCAAGATATTGGACGCTGAAAGTTAAAACTTTAAAATTAACAACAAAGTGGATAAAAAGGACCAACGCATAAACAGTTACGAATTATTTACTCAAGTGTTTTTTACTCCTGATACAGGGAGCTGTAAAGAAAGGTCAATTGGTTATCAGAAGAATTTTAAGACAGTTTAGCTGTCTGCTTTTAAAGGCACATATGGATAAAAAAAAAGTGCAGTGAAAAGAAGATGCAGGGTTCATTCACTTGTATAGATCTTAGATGAAGTTTGTTTAAAAAATGGGCAAAGGCCTCTTCAAAGATGTTACTTAGAAACACTGTAAGAGTTGTTTAAAATGAATATTCCGTTGTTTGATGAATTGGAAAGATCTTTGGATCAAGCTTGGTACTATTGCTGGTTCATAAATTGCAATGATTCTAGGTGGGGCTAGCTTAGCTCCAGTGGTCTCTTTTCCAATAGCCTGATAACTTGGTTACTGTAATGCAGTGGTGCACATCTGGGACCCTCAGAATCTGCCAGATGTTATCTAATTGCAGTTTTTAATAAGACGGAAGGGGGAAGTTATTACAGATGTGACTCGGGAGTGACCATATTAAATATGAATGAAAGCAAATTCAGCTTTTGTCATGATGACACTCACTCCTTTTCAGATGTCTAGTACAGCACTCATACCAGGTTTGGTGTTCAGTTTGGAAAAATGTTAATAAAAATTTATTGATAGAACAATCTAATGGTAACATAAATGTTTTGGATCTACTGAAAAGTGATTAAATTGTAATGGTTCTTTTTTTATTTTTTAATGTGTGTTCAGACTTTAGGCCCTTATGAAGGGACAGGTTTCAAGTGTTTCTGAGTACTGCAGAGTTGGGAGTAAGAAAATAAATTTAGCTCGTGTAATGTTAGAGGAAAACTGGGGTCCTTTTTTTCATTTTCTCTCTCTCAATAGAAGAAGAACGCAGACGGAAAGACAGTGAGGAAGAGTTGCTCGAATCTTACAGCAATGCTTTTGATAAACTCCTGGAGCTCACTGGCTCAAAAGATCTGAATATGGCTCTGGATACATTTGTTAAAGGTGATGTATGTGAATGGCAGTTAGTTTTTTTTTTTAAAAAAAAAGATCATTTTGTACTAGATAGTGTTCACTGTCTCGGCCTACTGAGATCGGCCGGCCAAGAAGAGCCTACTGACTGAGACATTTGTGAGCTATTCCCCCTCTGGTGCCCCTTGGATATTTGGTTCCTGATTATTAATACATTGGCTGCTATAATGTTTATCCTTCTCTCTATAGATAGGGAAAGAAATTTTGCTCAATTCAACTATGTCAATGAGCAAAACAGCCAGAAGGACCGACTATGGGAAGAAATTCATGAGGTGAGTGGAAAATATTATCTCTCCTTTCCTTTCTTTCTCCTTTCTCTTTTAAGAAGGCAGTATTTTTTCTAGGTGACTATGATTTTACCAACCACTGATTGAAATGCTATCCACTCATCTTTGAATTAGCAGAAATTTATAAATGTATATATGCATATATATGTATCCTGTTATTCCCTGTTAGGAATAATTGGAGTATCCCAGGCCTCCATTCTAGGCTCTGCACATTCAACATATTTATAAATTACTTGGATTAGGAGTTGGAAAATATGATCGTCAGGTTTGTGGATGTAGCAATGGCAAGATCTCTTAAACTTATATACCGCTTCACACTGCTTTACAACCCTATCTAGGCGGTTTACAGAATCAGCATGTTTCCCCCAATAATCTAGGTCCTCATTTTACCCACCTCAGAAGGATGGAAGGCTGAATCAATCGTGACTTAGTTGGGATCGAACTCCTGGCATTGGGCAGAATTGGCCTGCTATACTCCATTCTTACCACTGTGCCATCATGGCTGTGTAACAAAGATGAGGGCAATATCAGAATTGAGAAGGTTTTTAACAACTTTTTTTTTTTTTTAATTTGATTTATATGCCGCCCTTCTCCGAAGACTCAGGGCGGCTTACAATGTACTCAGCAATAGCCTTCATCCTTTTGTATATTTATACAAAGTCAGCTTATTGCCCCCACAAACTGGGTCCTCATTTCACCTACCTTAGAAAGGATGGAAGGCTGAGTCAACCTTGAGCCTTGGCGAGATTCGAACCCTGCAGTAATTGCAGGCAGCTGGTCTTAATAAGCTTAATAACAGGGTGCCTTAAACCCCTGTACTACCAAGGCTCTTGAACTTGAAATTAATCTTGCTGTTTTTCAGCCCAAGCCCAAGCAATATCTTGCATTTAGATAGGACAAATCAAAGGCACATGAATAGGATGGAAGGAGTTCTAAATAAACAAACAAATAATTAGGAAGTTGTATGTTTGAAAACAATCAGAGTGTCTTGGTAGATCACAAGCCAAACACGAGCCAGTAGTGTGATGTAGCTGCAAAAAAAGCAAATACCATAAGCTGCTTCAACAAAAGTACAAGAGAGAACTTGTCATTCCTCTATTTTGCAGCAGCCTGGACTATTTTAGGAAGCAGTGTCAGTGTCAGACTGGAACATATGGATGCAAGATAGTGAGGGCCTTGGAAAGAGCAATAGGAACAGTTGGAAACAATGGCTGATGTTAGCCTGGAGAAAAGAAAACTCTAGGATTCCTGATAGTTGTCTTCAAATATCTGTACAGCCATCATGTAGAAGGAAAGGAAGAATTGTTCTGAATTGTTCGAGAAATTGAGAAAGAAACAATTTTAAATAAGAAAGAGATTTTAGCTGGACATCAGATAACATTTCTTGATAGTAAGAGGTATTCATCAGTGGAACAGACTAACTTGGGGGAATGGTATTTAAATAGAGGCCATATGTCCTTCTGATGGGGATGCTGTAGGAATGGATTCCTGAACATGACAGCGGGCTGGAACAAATAATCTACCCCAGGCCCCTTCCATCCGTGACAGGCTATGTTGGTAAAAATAAGTTCCTTCCATCTTTTATCTTCACTTTTCCAGCTTTGTCATGAGATCCAGGAGATTCAAAAGCGGAACAGTCAAAGGGAGGCCCAGCAGCTGTTGCAGCTCCACGAAACTGAAGGCCAGCAGGAGGAGACGGTGAAAGAGGCCAATCAGGCTGAGCAGAATGTGAAAAAGTTCCTCAAGATTTGGGAGCAGCTTAAAAGTGGTGAGCAATGAGGGGAGAAAAAGGAGTTGCTTACTAATGGTTGTGTTAAGTAAATCTGAATATTAGTGAGAAAGTTTTTCTCTGAAGCTTTGCAGCTGGGGACTGGTTCATGACAGCTATGTTTGTTTGTTTGTTTTAAATTACTCCAAGAGTGCAATACCTTTTGGGAATGTGGCACCTCTTGTGATTGTTGCCAGGATGATCACAGCCAATTGTAGAATTCCAGGTCATCAATTAAATTACCAGAAGCCAAACTGGTGCCATAGCTCCTCCCCTGGTACCACAGACTGCCCCCAGTGCCCCCATCACCATTGTTTTCCTTCAGTTTTTAAAATTGATTTATGCAAAGCCCACAGATTTCAAGACCAAAAACTTAGTTATAGCCACCTATGATGATGGACAGCAAATATCAGGAGAACCCAGGCAGCTTAATGGACATCAAAATTCAAGCATTGTCAGTAATGAGTACCAGATTAGCTCCCTTTGCCATATTCTGTGTGAGATGCAGCACCTTCACGTTAAAAGCAGCAAGTATGTGAAGATGTGTATGATCCAAACAAGCTGTAGGCCAATCTTATTTAGTGTGACACATCTTGACCTAATATTGTGAGGTGGGAGTTTCGTTTATCTTATGCATCTTCTCCTTCCAGTAAATACTGGTCCCTCAAAGATGGTCACATTCTATTTTTTAGCACTAGAGATTCCCCCCCCCCCCCAGCTTCAGTAGTTACTGAAACAGTTAGAACCATGAGAGAGAAAAGAGGATAAGAAGAGACTCTGAGGATTGGTTTGATTATGACTGGCTGATTGTTCATTGATCAACTGGAAAAAACTGCTTGCTGAGAATGGCTCAGATGGTATGGGGGGGGGGAATAACCTGGGGGTAGAAAAACCCTACTTCGAGCAGAAAGTTGGGCAAAGGAGATACAAATTCCCACTGGCTATGGACAATATGGCCCAATGGAAAGGGGAATTTAGTCCAATTGCCAAAGGCCACAGGTTACACACTCATCTTTGTCAGTGGGCAGGGTATTTGAAGGGTATAGTGTCAAAAAGAGAGTGTGTTTTTCCCTCAAAAATTAAAACCTTGGCTTATCTGGTGGATCTGATGCAGTTCTTTCAGACAACATAAAAGAAGCCTCTTTTTTAAACACCACACATGTATGCAACTTGTAAGTTTAGTAGGAGACAAGTGGGTCTTTACAAAGGTTGTATCACTTTTTTGGCTGCTCTTCTTTTGAGTCTTTCTTTATCTTGGAAAACCAACGATCCCACCATCCATCATGCAAATCCTAGACAGAAGATCAGACAAGGTCTATCCATGGAAATTGGTATTGGAAGCAGGTTCCCCACAGGCGCAGTGCAGAGCGGTTGATTAATTTATCTTATCTTTAGGGCAAGCGGAAGCTGCACCTTCTTTCTGAAGGACATGGCAATTACTGGCAAGCGTCAGAATTCACTTTCCTTTTCCTCCCCTCTCTCAAAGCCATTGAGTCTCTCTTCTGGAAACTGGAGTGTGACCATTCCTCGCTGGAAAAAGTGCTGGGCGGGACAACGACTGCTCAGGATGAGAATGTTGCCATTTACCTGAGCATAATTGAACGGAAAGTCAATATGCTGCTGACAATGTATTCCTACAAGAAGGCTGAGGTATGCAGACAACAACAAGGCAGGAGATGGGTCATTTGTCATCTCTTGTCTGTGTAGAGAAAGTGTTGCATGGTTCTTCCCCCCCCCCCCGCCCCCAGGTTAAGAAGAGGTGACTTTCATCTTAATTTTTCCCAGTTTACCCAATCTAATTTAGATTACTATAACAGGAACTGAAAAATGTTTTATTGCACAAAAATCCACTTAGAATTTGCAGGAAAAATATGTGACTGAAGCTACAGGACCGGAGTGTCCAAACTTGGCATCTTTAAAAACTTGTGGACTTCAACTCCCAGAATTCCTCAGCCGGCCATGTTCTGGGAATTAAAGTCAATAAGTCCTAAAGTTATCCGACAGCCCTACTGTAGGATAAGCTCTGCTTGGTCCCGTGTAGTCATAGGTCTCCATAGGTCAGGGTGGGTTCTACTTACCTTTACTACTGGTTCGCAGCGGGGCCGTGCGCTCTTCTGCGCATGCGCAGAAGCGTTTTGATGACATCGGGGTTGGTGGGCGGAGCCTCCTGCTAGTTTTACTACCGGTTCTATAGAACCAGTGTGAACCGGGGGCAACCCATCACTGCCATCGATCCTATATAGTTCTCATTTTTGCAGTGTTTTGCTTGACCTAGCTCATTCCAAGTTTTTAATAGTTTATGATATTATGTATGTGTGTGTGTGATAACATTACTACAAACATAAAAGTTGGAAAATTTAAAAACATTTTAATAATAGCAGCAACCCATTTAGTGTTGGCATATTGGAATTGTATTGTGGTGGGCAGCCTGCAGCTCTCCAGATGTTGCTGAACTATAGCTGCCCATATGTTTTACTTATCGTCCATTAGGATACTAAGAGGTTGTAATAGTCGGCTACATCTGAAAAGCCACGTATTGCCCATTTCTGGCAGATTAATACATGTTGTCCAATGGGTCTGTTTTAATTTAAATCTTCAGGTGAGGGTAAAGAATGGTTTTTTGTTCCCTACATCTAAATTTGGTCTCTTTTTAGGAAAAGGATGAACCCTATGATACTGTGGAGACAGCACAGCTGCTCCTGGGGCAGACACCAGGACTGCGGCCAACTGCGATTACTGTTCGGCCACCCACAGCTGGGTAAGGAGAGCTGGTCATTACACAAACAATCCAAAAGGATATCCTGCTAAGGCTCCATTCAGCCTATCCCCACTTTCAACATTAAAATCAGAGTGGGGCATGGGAGGCGTATTTTTTGTGGTGGTATCACCTAATCTTCTGGAATTCTTAAGGGCCTTGAATTGTATAAATTTCAGGTGAGTGCTGCTTCAATGTTCCTTCCATTAAGAGCAGCTTGACAGCTGGAACTGATTTACTGGGCTTTTGCTCATCAGAAATCTCTAGACACGCAGGGCAGCCATCTGATGGAGAAGTTGTAGCTTTAAATTTCTTGTTGTGAGCAAGAAATTGGAGTATGGTAAATCACAGGGATGAGGAATCTTTGGCTCTCCAGATATTACGTGTAGCTCTCAGAATCCCACATTACTGGCAGGACTGCTGGTAGAGATATTTGGGTAGCATTTGGTGGGGTGCAAGCCCTCGATCCACGGTGAGTCGATTGGATTTGCCTGCAACGTCACTGTTATTATTACTTTAATTTTTATTTTGATAGCCCCAGGCTTATGCATGGCATTTAACAAAGGACATATAAATTTACAGTATAAACAGTCACATATGAAAGCAATTTTAAAACAAAGAAAGAATGACTAAATTAATGGAGATTTGCGCTCTCTGCATTTGAAAAATACCCAGTTGGGGAAAGCTGCACTGAGCCATGGTTCATTTAAATATGGTTTGTTAACACAGTTGGCCAGATCTGTACCACATGCCAAGTGATTAATCATGGTTTAAAACTACTATTGGCAGAGTTAACACAATCTGACATAAAATCAAAGTATTTTATGATTTAATGAAATATGGGATCTGTACCCAACATACTTTGGCTTGGTGGGGTTGAAGATTGTGTTAAATTCTAGGAATGATGGGATTTTAAAGAATGGATTTTATATAGCAATTTTGTGACTCAGATGCATAAAAAAAGCAGCATATATGTTAAAGCCAAGAGACATCCACAGCTCAGCAAAAGAATGCAAACCAAATTTTTAAAAAGCAGGAACTGAAGCAGTAAAAAAAAATCAGTAAAACAAAGACATATGCTGAAATAAAACTACTGCTGAAAACTACAGCATATGCAGGAAAACTACATATGCTGAAATAAAGCTTGATGCTCAAACTAAGATATGCTTCTCTCCGACAAGAGTCAAAGTCACAGGTTAATTTTCTATAATTCACCTGTGACTTTGACTCTGGTCGGAGTCTCTTCTCTGTTTTATGAGAAGACTATTTCCCATATTGCAACATTTGCTCTGTGATGAGGGGGCATAATGTGGCAGAGGCATTATTGATGCTTGGATCCTGGTATTTAGAGGTCAAGGCCAATAGGAATAGCAATTGTGGAAAAGCTCCAGTTTCTGAATCATTTTCTAGTCTACATGGAATTCTACATAAAATAGAACACAGCAGGATCTGTTTAGTGGGTTAAACTAAAAAAGAGGAAATAATAGAAGATCAAACTCTTGGGAGGAATATGAAATCAATGTTCCCTTATTCTTCTAATCTCATAGGAGCAATCAGATTTTAGAATAACTCAAGAACAGATTTTTTTTTTAAAAGAACAGATTTGTAGTATTTAGGACAATATTAATCAGATCATTCTTTGTGGTTTGTAGACTTGGCCATGAGCCAATACAAGAAGAGGACAACAGACCTTTAACTCATGAAGAGCTCAGAGAAAAAGTAATAAAGGAGGTGAGTTCAAGAGACAAACTAAGTTTATATTAAGATGAAAATTAGCACACTTGGATGCTTTTAAAACGTGTGTATTAGAAAGAACTGCTTTTCCAATGTTTATTTATATAAAATAGACTATTTTATGCAGTACGCCTGTGTATGTAAGAAGGAACTTGTTCACCAAAATCAGGGGATGATTTCCTACAGTTGGCCACATTTTGCTTTCTGTAGTGGTTCTGACTTTTGTTGTAGAAACATTTTTCTACAAATACAGTTTGGGGAATTGGTGCCTAAGTTCTTGAAAGTAGGTCATGCATTCTGTCTCAGTTCCTTTCTTTGTATTTGTTGATTAACCTCAACTGTCCAAACTCCTCAGCCATCAAATAATCCATTCAACAACAAATCCATACTTCTACTGGCCCCAAGGGACCACGTTTTAGAAAAGAGACTATGGGTGCTGGTGTGTCTTTGCACTTCAGGGTGTCCTCTGAAATATAGCAAAGTGTCAACTCTCATGCTGAAGCAGCTTTGAGCTGCCAGTGGTAGCCTTCTCTCCCACCACTCAGCAGAGATGTGAACCTTAGCAATAATATTAGCCATGCAGATGTATGCATCCAAACTAGACTGTGTTGTTTCTCTGTGTCATATAATATATGTGAATATATGCATAATTTTTTGTCATGTTTATGTAGTGTGTATTGGAAGTGGTGACCCTTTGAGAGCTGTATGCAATGAAATTTCATTTTAACGTATGCCAATTAATGTACATTTAAAATGACAATAAAGTTATTCTAAGTCTAAGTTTAAGTCTAAATATTGGGACTACCAACTCTGGGCTGCAAACATCTGTAAGGCAGCAGTTAGCTTTCTCTTTGTTGTTGCCTAATAGGTGTCTAGAATTTTTTTTGCAACTCAGATCTGGTAGCCCTAAGTAAGCAATCTGGCACTAGCCAAAAATGAAGTCATCTTTCCCCAACTAATACAAATATGTTTTTTACACTTGTTTTCGAACAATAATAGAATGGATTTCTCTCTCCTCCAGATCCAAAGCAAGGCAGCGGCACTTTCTCTAAAGAAAAGCACGTAATGTGCAGTTCAGTGACTGTATCCTGGGACTAACACACACAAGAAATAACCTCAGGCCTCCAGACGTGAATAGGAATCTTAACTGCAGCCTGGGCTACGCCAACCAAAGAAAAAAACTGAGGCAGGTTGCATTCCAAGTGTGGTTCCTGAAACATTTTTCTTTACACCATTGCCCTCTGCCGCATCCTTTCTCATGTCTGGAAAGGCTGAGTGTAGCCTTCATCCTGCAGGATCCTTCACTCTGCTGTAGTCCATGGAAAATCTTCCTCCTGCTGGTGAATTGTTTCTTTTCCTGGCTGCTCATGTGATCAGGACAGATGTATTGTGTCAGTGGTACATAATTCATAGCTGTCATACCATCCAAGCTGTTTGCTTCCGTGCTGCCTGTTTGTTTATACAGTATGCCTTTAATTTGACTCCACATTCTCATGCAAAGAGAGAACGCATTGCAAAATTTTTGCCTATAGCAGTGGTATTTTACTTTGCCACTGTTCCGATGAAGGAAGCAAGAATTTCCAGCTTCTAAAATAAGATCCTTTTGGGAAACAGGTGACCAAATTTGCTCTATTCCCCCAGCAGCATTTTGTATCTACAACAGTTCTTTCTCCTGTTAGTCTCCTTAGCTGTCAGAATGTTTGAGGCCCACAAGGGGTATATTGTGTCTTTTGATGTATCTGAGCAGGAATTGGGTTTATTTAAAGCACTTAGCCACATCTTGAACGGGTGTTTCTTAAAAAACAAAAATAAAAAACAACTAGCATGTTCCTCAGAGTGTGGTTTTTCACCACATGATCATCGGAGGCTGTATCAGTCCCACACAAGGTTCCCTTTTACAACTGCCAGTTAGAGCTCCGTTAGTGGCATATACAAAAGGTTTTTTTTCCAAAGTAAATTGAAAAATACATGAAAACTCTAGTAACCGAGGTATGTGTCAGAGGAGAAGTTACTTCCCTGTAGTTATCTTTTCATTCTCTTTAAGATCCCCTTTTTGGAAGAAATATTTTTTTTTTAAAAAAATCCCCCATTATTTCAACAAAGATAATACCACTTAAGCTGTTCCCCAACCCTCAAATGATCTTCTCCTAGAGGGCCCCCATTTCAGGCCTCTTGGCAGTGTCCCAGAAAAGAATCTTAGGTAAGCTGTTCCTCTCTCAAAGAAGATCATCATGAAAAGAAAAATCTGATAGTTTCACTGAAAGAAGATAGGTGCTTTCAATTCTGCCATTCCTGTGGGTGTGGAATGCAGGGGTGACGTGTGTATATCTGTGTGTGGGAAGGGTGGAGAAGTGGAGACTGGTCCCAGATGGGCTGACAAATGCACAGTCCTGTGGCAAGTGAAAAGACTATCGTGGTTTTTTTGATGATCAGTGTAAATCGAAAGTGGATGATTAAAAGGTTTAATTGACAACACTGGTTGGTTTTTGATGGTTTTGTTGGAGCATTTGTTGGTCTTTGGGGAGGTAATTTCTTTTCTCATCCAAATTAGGAGCAACTGATCATTGATACTGATCCCTGCAGCTAATTTGCAATGAAGAACCAAAGTTGAAACATCCCCTATGGAAAAATTGTAATTTGAAAAGTACCTCTGCCACAGCACTGAGTTTGGGTTCATATAATGCGCTAGGCCCTTAACCCTGACTAATAAAACACAATTGTGGTGTTCACTGTGGCCCAACAAGCAAACCATCTAATGATCTAGCTTCTCACAATACACTAAAGCAATTACTGATTTGCCATAATACAACTAAGACACAAATTACCGAACACCATTTAGCCTAATCTAGCATGTTGTATGAACACATGAGCCTGTTCACATAAAAATATTGGCATAGTTTAGCATTAAAAATGGTAAACCCAGGGGATATAAATAACAAGCAAATAAAGGATTAAATAATATGCACTAAATTATACAATTGACATTGTTTATATACACACACACACCCTATGCATCTAACAATGTTCTCAACCTGTAGTGCCTAAAGTCCCATTTTTAGGAAAATAGGGTCCCATCAAGAGAGCGCCATAAAACTCATTTTATCTCAAGAAGAAATATATGCCCATAGTATTGTACTATTTAGCTTTTTAAGGACATACAGGAACCATAGTAATACTATCAACAATAATTTTCATTGCTATAACTAAAGCACTGAGAGAGTTTACTGGGGCTACTAATCCAAACAATTTTGTCTTCCATTCAATCATGTGTGATTCTTGGAGATTGCTGTAGCAAGATCAAAATCTCTCACTAACCAAAGCTGTGACTTGACTTTTGCTCCAAAACCCAACACATCTCTTGACTCAAGTTTCATTTGCTCAACTGACTCTCCTGAAAAGTGTCAACTTTGCTTCTCTTACTGAGGCCTTCTCAGTTTGGAGAAAGTGCCATGTTTCATCTGGTGAGTTTGGCATACTACTGCTTGAAAGACCCAGCATTCATAGAAAACAAGCAAAGCAAAGCTGCATGTGATTTGCTTCATTCCATTTCATCTGTTACGATGGTTCATATCTCCGCAACTTGGAGAGAACTCCTTATGTCTTGGATATTTTAAACCAAATCTATAGTTATTTTAAACCAAATCTATAGATGCTGGCCAACAGTGTTGGAAAGGAAATATTTTTTTGCAGAAGAAAGAGTTTGTTTTGCAACTATTTGGTTATGTGGAAAGGGGGTGTTATGTTAAAAAAAAGTTACGATTGTGGCTACATCCATGCAATCAAGACCATTTTTACATGCATCATGATTCCAGTCCTTATCTGATGGCATGATTGTGCCCTCTATCTTGAATTTTCTGACACGTAACCTCTCTCTCCTCTGCAATTAATTGTGTATCTGGTGTTTTTTTTTTTCCTGGAGGACTAACTGCTCTTTCAGTCCTGTTTGGAAGCCACACTAGATTAAAGTTAAGAAGACAAACTTGTCCTCTTCATGAAACAAGTAGGCAACTGTATCCAATTCAACTAATATACACATGAAAAAAGTCAGCGTCCTGATGTAAAGCTGGCTGGAGTAATGCATTGGGGGAGAGCTAATCAGCACCTTAAACCACAAAAGACGCAGGTTCTGTTTGGCAGTGGGTTTATTTGTCAATTGGTTTTCATCCTATTCTAGGAAGGGTCACACCTTCAGAAGAAGTGTTGCTTATTTTATGAACTTTAAGTCTTCTTCAGGTGTCTTCCTTGCAAGACAAAGTAGGTGACGACTGAGATAGAGCCTTGGCAGTGATGGTGTCCCATTTATGCAGCACCAATTCAAAATAATTTTGCCTGGCATCCATATTATGTTTCTAAATGTCAGGCAAAGACCCTTCTACTTTCCTATCATTTTAAGAACCATTCTGGCTTTTCCAACTTAACTGTTTTATTGCGCCTATACTGTGATTTTTATGCCATAATTACAACATAAAGTAACTGCAGCTGATGCTGGTTTTTATTTTGTATGTAGTGCTCTTCTCCATACAGATGTTATTGTTTTGGTTGTTTTTTTATAGTTGTGCTTTTCTACAATGTTTATATGCTGCCCACAAAACTCCTACTATCGGGCTGCATAAAGGAACAATAAACAAGAGTTATAATTGCAGATTGCTGTATGGTTAAGAAGAAATGTCTAAACCACAATCTGATTCATAGTGTGTATTTGTACAACATGACAAATACACTATGATTTAGAAGCACCATATCTGTTGGCAAAGTTCACCCACCAGAGCAGGCCATGGTATTCACATAATTTCTGAGTTCACACAAATAGCTTAATCCAACCCATTTCAGTTTTACTGCTAGCTAAATACAAAGCAGTTTCTCCAAGCGCCAAGAATGTCTTGGAAACAACCCATTTTTATTAAGAGCAATTTTGACCAATTGCGGAAAGAGGTCAAACCTTCTTGTACGACTGTTTATTAGCCACAAGGTGTCAGTCGTATTCTTACTTTTTGGCAAAGTAAGCTGTGGAGTGAGAATGACAAAATGCAAAGTTGGAAGGAGAAGATTGTGGTTGATTGGAACAAGGAAAACGGCATCGGTTTAGAAAGCCAGGAAAACTACTGTTGAGTAAAATTCCTAGTTGTCAAGAGTAGCCAGAGTAGCCAGAATTAATCTGAATCAGAGTAGCCAGCATTAATCTGAAGCAAGAACTTCTTTTGCCAGATTGGATCAAAATAGTAGACCAAGGGACTTCAACTCCCAGAATACCTTGTTTCAGGCATGTCCTTTTGATATTGCCATCTTCATGTTCCCATACCAGGAACAAGATACCTTTTGATATTTTTAGCTGTATGATTTCTCTTCCATACAAGAGCAGCTTCCAATTATAATTGGTTAGCCTGTCCTTCGTTTGGACAATGCATAGGTTTGAAACAGGCACAACAGAGGCTGGGTAGAGACTATCAATGTGAACATATATCAGGTGGGTATGGCATTCTACTGATCCAAGGGGTAATATGCAGGGGTGGGCTTCAAAAATTTTAGCAAGGGTCTCTGCTTGGTTGCTGGGTGGGTGTGGCCATGGTGGGTATGGCCTAGTCAGCCTCCTGCACCACAGTGGGGGTGGGGTGTTTTTGCCCTCCCCAGGCTCTGGAGGCTTTCTTCGAGCCTCTGGGAGGGGAAAAATGGCCTCCCCAGGCTCTGGAGGCCCTCTGGAGGCCGGAAATGGGCTTCCGAACTTCCAGTAGGCCCATTTTCCTTCCCCTCCCCGAGCCTCTGCGCATACCCTGCACTTATCTGCATCCAAAACAGGCCGCGTGGGGACTCCTGGGTGGAGCGGGATGGGCAGGGCCAGCCAGGAGTGGAATTTGGGGGTTCTCCAAACTGCACAGAATCTTAGCTAGAGGTTCTCCCGAACTCCTGTGAACCCCCAGAAGCCCACCCCTGGTAATATGCATCTTTGAGCTTCTACTAAGACAGCAAGTTAGACAAGAAGACATCTAAGGTCCTTTCTAGGTCTGTTATTCTATATTCTGAATACAGTTAATAAAGGGTTTCCCAACCTTGGCAATTTTAAAACGTATGAACTTCATCTTCCAGAATTCCTCAACTAGCATGGTTGGCTGTGGAATTCTGGGAGTTGAAGTCCATGTATTTTAAAATTGCCAAGGTTGGGAAACCCTGAAACTAAGAGGAGAAATATAAATATAAATAAATCCACTGCTTCTAAATTTGGAAGCTCTGTATGCTACTCAGGGCTTAGAGGGAGTGTTAGAAAAGTCAAGATAGTATCCACAACCGCACAATTATAACCTGATCCCTTTTGTGGTGTTACATGTACAATAACCCCAAGAAGGAGATCTGGTTTCAATTGTGCTGTTTGGCAGCCCTTTTCACAAGTGGTGGGTTTCAAATTTTTTTACTACCAGTTCTGTGGGTGTGGCTTGGTGGGTATGGCATGGCTTGGTGGGCGTGGCATGGGAAGGATACTGTAAAATCTCCATTCCCTCTCCAATCCAGGGGAAGTTTACTGCAAAATCCCCATCTCCCCCCGATCAACTAGGACTCAGGAGGCAGAGAATAGATGGAGGCGGGGCCAGTCAGAATTTTTACTACTGGTTCTCCGAACTACTCACAATTTCCACTACCGGTACTCCAGAACTGGTCAGAACCTGCTGAAACCCACCTCTGCTTCTCACTTACTTTTAACTCCCTTTGGGAACGTTCGTTCATGTTAGTATTGCAACCAGCAGCTAGAAACCTGCCTTCCCTGAATTACTTCAACCTTTCTTTAAAATCAGATGCTCCAGTTGCAGGAAGTTCCCCAAGTTATTTCAATGCAACCTCAACTTACGACTGGAATTGAGACAAGGCAGTTGTTAAGTGAGTGGCGTCCAATTCTAAAGACCTTTTTTGCCATGTTTAAGTGAATCGCTACAGTTCATGTAGTGATTAAGCAAATCCAATTTCCCCCCCATTGACTTTCCTTGTCAGAAGCTCTCTGCGCAGGTCACGAATGGCAATGACATGACCTCAAGATTTTGCAACCCTCATAAATACATGCCAGTTGCCAAAGTGCCCAAATTTAATCATGTGACTGTGGGGTTGCTGCAACAGTCATAAATGTGAGAACCCATTGAAAGTCACTTTTCTCAACTTTGAATTGTCACTAAATGGTTATTTTTTGTTCATTCCAAATCACTGCCTGTTAATGCCACCGAGTAAGCAAACTTCTCATTTTTTTTTAGCATCGGTAAATAAAAGTTCTGTGTATTTATAGCTTCATTAACTTCAACAATGCCTTCTTTCTCCTTAAATCAAAAGCTCCAACGCTTTTTTACCCTTTTCTCCTTTTCTCCATCCTTCTCCCTTTGATCATTTTGGCTGATATTTACAGCACTTTCCACAGCTTTGGTCTTTATAACAAATGGCTTGCTCTTTTTTGTCTCTCTGCTGTGTTCCTTGTTGAGAAACAGAAAAAGACTAAGCTTAGA